ATTGAAATTAAGTACGGACCATCCAATAAATATCGGTCATGGTTCCAAGTCAATATCTCGAAAAATGTGCAAAAAAACATGTGGTATTTTTTGTTGCAAAATTTGTCCAATATTGGGAAAAGCCGCCATTTTTTCCTTAATTTAGGGGTTTCCCGTGGACTGATTTTTGCAACTTTTGGTATATCACTCTGCACACCACAACAATAAAAATAAAACCATAACATGTTTACTTGCAAATTTTTATACGATCCCTGTGTACGTTATTTTTAGTTTGCTTGGACTATTACATTAATTTATAAAAAATATTTTTATTTGAAATATTTTATTATTTCTACGGGGTTTATTTTTTGTTGTAGGTACATGTATTTGGTATCATTTTAAAGGTAATTTCAGGAGGAACATTAAATGTATTGACGACTTTTCACCAATATAGACTGGAAAGTCAGAATTTCAATAAAAAGCAAAAAACTACTGGATTTGGCCGGAAAGATATTTTTGGAGACTTTTGATATGTTATTCACAATACTTTTCACTATCGAACAACAATGGTTTAATCTGTGTTCTAATTATTTCTAGGTTTTGCTATTTATTTTCTTATTTTAAGGCGCCTATTAGGTTGTCCATGTTTATCTTCATCATTGATAATGTAGCCTGCGTGGCCACCCATTGTTGCCAGTACGTTTACAAATTTCTGTTATTTTGTTAATAGCGATAACATTTGTTTACGTTACTTAAGAACTACCTGATTTTCAGCATAACCTGTCTGTCACGATTTTATTTGCTTCAATTGGCATTATTTTGGTTAGTAACTGTAATAACTTTAACTATATTTACCTGAGAAAGTGCAAAGTTAAAAGGCCTGATGTTGTTCAGATGGTTTTTTCGTTTCCCTGAATAATAGTTGAATCCTTTAATGAAAGTGTTACTAAAGATTTCTTGGTTGTAGCTTTGACAATATCCAATCTAACAAAAAACCACTAAGTGGTAACACTTCCCCCGCCAAGTCAGCAACCCAAAAAAGACAATAAATCACCACTTTTCCGCCAAGTAAAACAATGTAATGTATGTAAGTTTGGCAACTTGGCGGCAGACTTTTGCTTGTTTTTTTTCATTAAAGTTACGTTGGTGGATAATTTCACAAATCAACTTCTCTAATTAATTAGTCCAACTAAGTATAATAATTTCGATGTAATCAGTAAATATAAAACCATCACTATTATGATTTTATGAAATGTGACACAAATAAGGTCAAATTTTGTAAAATAAGCTCTCATCTAGCAATGTACTATTGGGAGAGATACTTGCTCAATGAAACTAATTTTATGGTATTTTTTAAAGTGATCAAGCAAAAGTCTGCCGCCAAGTGGCCAAACTTACATACATTACATTGTTTTACTTGGCGGAAAAGTGGTGATTTATTGTCTTTTTTGGGTTGCTGACTTGGCGGGGGAAGTGTTACCACTTAGTGGTTTTTTGTTAGATTGTATTTATTTTTGTAGAAAATTAACAGTTAAAATAAAAATCCTCTTTTCTCTTATATAATATAGACCAGGGCACAACTACATATAAAATGCATTGGTGTTACATTAGTGTTCCGATAATTAAACCCGTATATCTAAAGACTAGTGTAAATTGAGCCCTTATTAGAGAAGTAAAAATGTAATCAAACAGATTAGGTTTGTTAGAAATAGCATAAGGCAAAACAAATATTGAAAAACTCATTTTTATCCTAAATTTACATATCACTTTTTACATTCACTTTTTTGCTTGTTTAACATACGTAGACGGATTTTCCCGATTGTTTTATTTGTTTTAGTGTATCAAAACATAAAACTAACCTTAGTACTAGTACTAAGTTTCAAGTTCCTAGGTTTCATATGTTTTGATAAGTAGTATTAAACTGTTAAAAATGACGAGCTGCTGTACCAGTGTACCATCGGTACACTGCATTTTTCAATGGAAAGTATCGGGGAATATCACTGCTCTAAGTAATTTTATATAGTAAGTAGCTCAAATCATTCGGTATACCTGAAAAAAATACTTTATAAAAGTTTTAAAATAATTTTTCAGCTGTTCCTATGAATTTCTCTAACATTTTAAATTAATTGAGATTTAATCGCAGCTGATCCTTCTTTTGTTTTGATTTTAATCCCATGTTATTTAAATGGGCCAAAATCGTACTTTGAGGGCTTGCCAAGGGTTTATGGGTCAACACACCGACTTGTGACCCTCAAAAGGCACATCTACACGCTAAGCGCTTTCAAACAACATAAAAAACATTAAAATTGAGCCAGTGGTTTGGGCTGTAGGTCCGTCAACATTTAAGGAGAAGAAGGAGAACACGGAAAATTTGTGAATTTTCAAACTAGTTTTTCTTGGCTCAAACACAACCTTTTTTAAATTCTTTTTTTTATTTTACCAAGAATGATTGCCCCTATCCAGTGGATGAACAATTATTTTAATAGCTTTTGTTTCTTCAGAGCTACAGACGAGTAAAAAAGCCACTTTTTCACGTCATGTATATATACACTGCAGCAGCTGTGTACCGCTGGGGGACTTGGCGGGGCGGAACGCTGCCGCGTTCCTTAATAGTCAATGGTTGTAGTCATATTCTTCTAAAATCACTTGACTTTAATGGAATCATATAGTTGTCATTCCCGAACTAGTTCAGTTTTATTTAGCCTCAGAGGGGTTTCCTCTGCAATGATCACAAAGTCCATATTTCCTACAAAAATAGTAGCACTTCGGCTAACAATCCTAGATCATTGTTGGTAGGAATCTTCATATTGTAGGTGTTCTTCATTATACAGGTTAATAAATATAAGTTAGCAAGTTCTTTAAAAAAACGTCTCTATTTCTTCTTCTTGGTAGCGTTCTATGACTTCCCTATGTTTCCATAGTTAACAATTCGGTTTTTTCAATGCTTGATCAAGAAATACAGTAATGTCAATTCATTTTTCTTATTTGGTGAAACATGTCAAATTATCCAGGCTTTCTCTATATTTTATATTGTATACGCAGACCCCAATTCAAATAGTAAATATTTAATTTCAACCAAATCAGTAAATGTTTATACGTGCGTTTCCTTAAATTTGCAAAATAATATTCAGAAATTAAATTATCCACCTGATCATATTGAAAATAAATAACTTCTTGATCAGCATTGTACGTGTTATTAAATTTACGGAAAGTAAATAAAAGAAACGTCTTATAACACTTAAAACATATATTTACGCTTATACTGTTATTCACAAGACGGTAAATATACAAAAAAGGTGGTAAGTGGTATATACAAATGGTATATACAAGTGGTAAATATACAAAATGGGCACTCACTAGGAAAAATGGAGGATAGTCTAGATATTTTAAAGAATTGTAAGAAAGGATATGTAATGAATGCTTGGGAAGAATTGTATATTTATAAGGAAAAATGTAAAGATAGAAATAAGTTGATTAATGAACAAATACATTTTGATTCCAGTTGTACTTATAAAAATGTATTGGCCGGTGCTTCCGGTAGCCAATAGGGTATAAGTAGGGACGCCATTCAAGATTCTTGTCATTCGCCTATTGGGTCTGATGATGATTGGAGTGTCCAATCGAAATCGATCACCACTTACCACCTTTTTTGTATATTTACCGTCTTGTGAATAACAGTATAAGCGTAAATATATGTTTTAAGTGTTATAAGACGTTTCTTTTATTTACTTTCCGCATATTGAAAACAAATCTGTTCTTCATAAAGATAACATAGTAACCTTAAAAGCCACTGGGGCAGAGCCCCGATCGATTGAGAAATGGCTGAGGAGTTCAAAGGACAAATTTCGTGTCGGCGAATCAATTATATAGATAGATGCTGTAGTACGGGATTACACAACAAGAATGAATTGACATATTTTTCCATCACTCCGTACCACGATCACTAGAAAAATACCGGTATGGATCATAAACATAAACAAATTACGTTATTGGCCCGAATCCTATACTAATAGCATTGAACATATGTTTTGACAGTTCCATTTAAGCAATGTTTATTTTCGGGCCAAAAACGTCATTTGTTTATTTTTATGATCCATACCGGTATTTTTCTAGTAATCGTGCTCCGTACCAAAAGTTGATGACAACTTATATAAAAGAAAGTATATGTTTCCCAGGCTCTAGAGTGAAGAAAAACGATCAGCTGATTTTCCTTCGTTGTATTTGCTCACCGTAAAACATGAGCGCGCGCCACAAAATGCCACTTTCGGTACGTAGAACCTTGATAACAAGACTCTCATGGTGATTATAAAATAAAGACTTGTTATCAAGGTTGTCTCCTTATCAAGGTTTGCAATAACATGTGATTAGGGGTAAAATAAATTCTAGGGGATCTAAAAATTACCCTTGTTATCAAGGGTAACTTGTTATCGAGGGTCTTGTTATCGAGGCTTCACTGTAGCACGAATACTAGAATAATACCCGGTATGGATCATGAACATAAACAAATGACGTTGTTGACCCGAATCCTTTACTAATAGCATTACATATGTTTTAGCAGTTCCATTTAAGCAATACTAATATATTTTCGGGCCAAAAACGTCACTGCTATCACAAACGGATGGTCTTGAGAACTCGAATTTTCGATTGTACATGACTGATTGGACTTTTTTGTTTTTCATCTTTGTTTTTATTTGCCTTGTTAATTTGTACTAATTATTTGCTGGTTTCAGCTTTTGTGTTTCCGGCATTATCTGATTTGTAGGTACTAACCTGGCTATGATCTAGGTCTCTTCCCAACTAAGACGAGACCAGATTCTACAATCATCCTATAACATTATATTCAATGACGCAACGTGTCCGCAATAATCATTTAGACAGCATGACCCACGATGATCATTTACCAATGTCATATAACGAACTTTTAACAAAGAATTGTGGTCTTTTTCAATAAAAATTGCGAATCAGCCAAGTTTGCATGTTTTCGGTCAAATTTACTTCATTGTAGTAATATTTTAGGCAACATGTGGGCTCAGGAGTGGTCCGCAGTTCTTCCTCTGCTGGTCAATTCGACGATGCTGGACCTGGACGCTGGTCTTCGCGCCAAGAACTATTCAGTGTGGGACATGGTGCGGCGAGCTGAGGACTTCTACGTATCGCTGGGTCTAGACAGGATGCCGCCCAAGTTCTGGACCAACTCTCAGCTGGAGAAGCGAGAGGGTCGAGTCTCCAACTGTCATGGAACTGCTGCCAACATGTACACCGGCGATGACTACAGGTACACAATTACAGTTATCATACAAGGAGAAACGTGGATGAAAATTCTCAGTCACTTTACCTAAAAAACAATGTACAGAAAATATGCAAGGAAAAGGTTTCTTACGAATCCAACCAATCATGGCTTCAAATTCAGTCGTTGGTGGTCCTCATTAAACTAAGATGGGAGTGGTGTAGTCGGTAAAGTGCTTTCAGCTGTCCTCGATCCTGTATGAACTAACTGGGGTCAATTATCAATCATTAAGATGGGGACGCCACTTAGCTGCGTATTTTAACCCAAATATGAGTGAAGGATGAGTGTAGAATGGTGTGTGATGATCTGTGTAGCAATTTATGGAATTTATTTGTGTATGGAATTTATTTAGTCTGCTAGCTTTGTTACTGACTAAGATCAGCTGTTTCATTAGCCAGGATCATTTATTTAAAGCCCAATGATCGGCGTCTCGTTTGGGAAAACTTTAAAATAGTTTGGTACGGATAGAATGATCACACTAGACCCCATTATATTACCCTGAATAATGATTTCATTATGTTTTAGCGAATTTCCCGTAAAGGGAATAAGCTATTACCGTAGGTCTCATGGTAAGACCTAGACCCGGGACCGATTTACTTTTTCGTTTTGAGGTCCCCAGATGCCAAAAACACCATTCGTTCAAATTCATATATATATATATATATATATATATATATATATATATATATATATATATGTCCGTTAGCGCGATAACTCGAGCAAAATTGATCCGATTTTGATGAAATTTGGTACAAACGTGTAAACCTACATTTATTCGAACGAGTTCGCGAACCAGCATAATCGGACAATGGGATCAGGGGTTTATGGGGGGTAAAATGGGGTAAAATGGGGTTTTCTCATTTTTCACCCTAAAAACTATAAATTTCTAAATTTCTCTCTAGACCATTTTGAAGAGCTTAAAAAAACAAATAATTTAGTATATTAAAGTGTTTTGAACGTTCATTGACTACGGAGAAAATTTAAAAAAATTTAAATTTAAAATTCCCATGTTATTTTTATGGAGAATAAATAAACTGTTCTAGTTTGCTTGTTTATGGATATATTTTAATCAAATTTGGCAATTTGGTTTATTTCATACTAAGCTATCAATATTTCAATTTAAAAAACACACCTCAACATCTTCCCCGTAGCAGCAAACCTAACTACTCACTAAAATTAATGTTATTTAAATAGGAAATAAATCTGAAAATTTATGGGAATATTTTAGTAGAAATCAAGCCGGGTAAATGGAAATTCGCTTAGTATGCAGGTTTGCTGCAACGGGGGTATTTAATTTTATCACTAACTGATTTAACATTCTTTATCATAATGGCAGTTTTTATTTAAACATCGAGTTTTTACCGCCACTATGCAAACGCTATGCTCGTAATATATCACAGAAAAGGAAATAAGTTGTATTTCTATAAGGAAACTCTTGTTCCTTTGTCTGTGATAATATCTGCAACTTTTAGTGTATAACAAATGTACCTACGTCAGCTTAATTGAATCTATGGCATAAACAGTTTATGCTTATCGAAGATGCCAAGCTCTAAGCTATTAAAAGTTAAACAAACACTTAAGTTGTTTTTGGTTATTTCTATAATTTTCCCGACAACTCATAAGTCAAACAGGTTTGTATCGTATTTCAATAAATTAGTATTTAATTATATGCGTTTACGTTGTTGTGCCCATTTAAGTGTGCAACCACAAAGTTAGTTCCAACCACACAACGCTCCAATGTTTGGAGTGTGACGCTATCTTCATGATAAGAGCGCCAGGCAGACGGTTCTCACCATTCGTCTTCGTTGACTAAATATTGCCCAATTTTGCTGACAATTTGACATATAGGGAGCCAGAGCTTATGTCAATATTGATCATTCGATTATGTCATCTCCATAACAGTCCATAAAGTCCTTGAGGGGTCTTAAAGTCAGTGGCTGATATGGAATGGTAGACGAATTTCAGTTCGTTCCATTGGACTTGAAACCGGACAGTTGTGTATGCTATAAAGGAAATCTGGGTTATTAACACCCCCAACGCAGCAAACCTGCAAACTAAGCGAATTTCTTAACTGATATGATATACACCAAAATACTCCCTTTTTCATTGACATTAGCCTTAATTAGTTATTATTTTTTTGTCACAGGTAAGGTAATAAAATATGTTCTTAGTAAAGTGTCAATAGATTAATATAAAATGAAAAATTGACAATTTTGATCACAATACAATATTATTCATAAACAGGCAAACTATAAAAGTTTATTTAGTCTCCAAAATAATTACATGAAATATTAAATTTAAAAATTTTGAACTTTCCTAAGAAACTATTTTAGTATACAACAACGTTTCAATGAACTAAACTATTCTTTTTTAAGCTCTAAGAAATGGTTTGGAAATCAACTGCAAAGTTTTGTTTTGAGAGTCAAAAATGGGAAAACCCCGTTTCCATAGTCCGATCATGCTGGTTCCCAAAATCGCAGGAATAAACCTAGGCTAATACTCTTGTTCCAAATGTTATGAAACTAAAAGTCGCGTGCTAACAGACACGTTTATAATGATATTTATAAATTCGAGCTAATTGTTTTTAGGCCAATGTCGACCTCAAAACGAAAATTCAAAACAACTAAATACAATAAACAAAAGGTAATACACATTTGATTTATTGGGTACCGTTGAAAAGTTTTCAGTCCATTGCTATCCAAACTAAATTTTCAACATGAATTAACTAATATTTTCCATTTTAACTTCTATTTAGGCTTCTGATGTGTGCTGAAGTAAATTGGGAAGATTTTCACGTGATTCACCATGAGATGGGTCATTTGCAGTATTTCATGGCATACAGAGATCAACCAGCTATATTCCAGGTATAATACAGGACAGCTGTGTAAGCCTAGATATATCAACAATAATGATTACTTTTGGCTATAATTTTACAGTTTTCTAATAGAGTTCTGGTTCTGAATATTATGAACTCCTTGCATCGTGAAGACGTTTAAAGGGTAGGCTAGATAAATATTTAAATGTTTTTAATTTGCCCGTATAGCCCTTAACTCAAGATTTACCCGTACCAATAATGATAATTGCAATTATGTCAATGGTTAGTTAAACTAGTGGTTAAACTACTGGTGTACAATGCAGTTGTCTGCTTGCATTATTGAGCGGAGCTAGCATATTAATCCAATACTTTTCTAAAGTCAATGGTACTTATTTTTCTCGTCAATGAGATCAAATACTTGCAGTATCCAATGTCAATAATATATATGGTTTGCGTAAATGGAATGCATATTTGCAGTATTCAACGTCAATTAAATATTAGTCTGGTTCACGTAAATGAATTGTCTACTTTCAGGAACCAAAGTCTATGTTTTATCTGGTTCTCATGTAATGAATGTCTACTCGCAGTATCCAATGTCAATGATACATTTGGTACGCATAAATAAAACGCCTATGTGCAGCATCCAAAGTCAATGGTACGCCTGGTTTACTTAAATGGAATGTCTGTTTACAGGTTCTAAAGTAAATGGTACCAGGTTCACGTAAACGATTGTGTACTTGCAGTATCTAAACTTAATAGTACATTTGCTTCACGTAAATTGTCTTCTTCCCCCAGTATCCTAAATCAACGGTACACCTGCTTCACATAAATTAGAAATCTACTAACTTGTAGTATTCAAAGTTTATGGTCCATTTGGTTCACATAAATAAGATGCCTGTTTGCAGTAAAGCCAATGGTAGGCTTACTTCTGGTTTACTTAAATCATGGAATGTATATTTGCAGTATTCAATGTCAATGATACATATGATTCGCATAAATAAAATGCCCATTTGCAGTGTCTAAACTCAATGGTAATTTGGTTCACGTAAATGAATTGTCTACTTACAGTATCCTATAAGTCAATGGTTCATTTGATTCACGTAAATGAAATGCCTAATTGCTATAACCAAAGTCAATGGTACGTTTGGTTCACGTCAATGGAATGTCTACTTGCAGTACCTATCCAAACTCAGTGGTATCTTTGGTTCACATTGATGGGATTCTTAATTGCAGTATATCTATTCAAAGCCAATACCACACATTATTGAATGGTACGTCTAGGAAAGTCTACTTGCAGTATCCAAACTCAATAATTGAATGGCTCCCCGGAAAAACGTTCCAAGCGCCAGAATTAGAGTTTGCAGGTTTTTAAAACAAAAACGTTCCTTGTGCTTTTGTCTATCAAGTGGTTTGGCCGATTTTATAACTAAAACATTGAATTATGGGTAGGGGAATTTGGCACTCAATGGAAGAACGTTCCTTGTGCAGCGTATTGGGCAGACAAGACCATGTCTTCACTGTTGTCAGGCCTTATAAAACAATTAAATAGAGACAAAAAACTAAAGTTAAACATAGATTTTTGGAAGAAGAAAGTTAAGAAGATTCATAGAAATAGCGGGAAAGAGTAAAAAACTACAAAAATGAAGTAGTGACTGAAAAAATACCTATTTCTGAAGTAATTGGAAAAACGTTACTTGTGCTACAATGCACACTACAGTTGAACACTATAACGTTAGTGATCCAGAATATTTACCAGGACATAAGAATTTAATTTTCATTTCTAAATACTTATTATTAGTAAATTACAACCTAGCTGTTGTCAATTTACTGTTTACTGTCTTATATGTTATTTTTGTTAAGTGAATAGGCTGATTTATTTAAGGATTTCTCATGTTCCTGCACACACAACGGCTGCAAGACTATACCTTACGTGACTGACTATACTGTTGACTATACTGTACCAAGATAATACGTTTTTCTACAAGATTTTGTGTGTTATTTTAGTTAAATGAAGTGCAATATTGTAAAATTAAAAGTCCCAAGCACACAAACAATATCTGCTTAATACAAAGGCTAGGGGTTATGTCGGTTTCATTAACAAGATATTGTGTATTCTTTTAGTAAAATAAGATTCAATTTTGTAAAAAAAAATTCTTTCACTTGCAGTTTGAGAATTTCTGTACCTAAGCAATAAAAATAATGAATTATTGCAGCTATTAAAACTTTATTCTTTACAAAACGTTCCAAACGCCAGTATTGTAGAGTAGAGTGCTATGTTTCAGTAGAAAAACGTTGCTTGTGCATATCAAACTACGCCCAATCAACGTTTTTCCACTACATTTACACTTAAAATGTCAAAAGCTTAATAATTTGGATTTTTACTTGAAAAAAAATCTTTATAACATCGTTTTGACTAGACCTATCAAGTAGAATCTAAAAAAAATCCAAAAAAATATCTTTAAAAAATTACTCTCTTAACCTTTTTTTTAGTTTCTGTAAAGTTTACAAAACGGCGCATGGAACGTTTTTCCAGGGAGCCATTCCAGGGTAGGCCTATGGTTCATGTAAATGGAATGGCTATTTGAATTAAAGTCAATGGTGCATCATCAGCCTTATTCCGGCGACACGAATTAATTATTGGTTATTAATTTTGTAGAAAATTATGTTCAATGATAGTAATCCGATTGTTCTTTCCTTCTCCTCTGTACGGTATTTGTAATGTACTGTTTAGATGATTCGTTAACTAACATATATGTTGCGACTCTTGTTTACCTTTTTATTATCTTGCAAATACAGTGGAACCTTGATAAGAAGACCCTCGATAACAAGTTGCCCTTGATAACAAGTGTCATTTTAAAATCCCCTTAAAATTATTTTACCACTAATCACATGTTATTACAAACCTCGATAAGAAGTCAACCTTGATAACAAGTCTTATTTTACAATCCCCATGAGAGTCTTGTTATCGAGGTTCTCTACTGTAATGCCATGGCAACCAATAATTCCATAAGGCCCATGTTAAATTTCCAAAAGTTTAAATTCACGTAGGGAAAAGCCCTGTGGTCTGATTTGTACCATTTCAGATTTATACCTACCCATGGTTGGCTACTATGATTGTGCTAAATTTGGTGCAGATCGCTTTAACCGTTCAGGAGGAGTATTTGTAAAACATAATCAGGAGTGTAGAGTTTCGCTCGCTTCGCTTCGCTCCGCTCAATAAATTTCACCTCCAAAGCCGAAATTGTCTTGTTAAACATTATTTTCTCTTTAACACACTTATTAGGAGATTTTGTATTGATACCTTTGTTATTAATTGAGTAAGTACATTGTGTGTTTCTAGCTTACTTGTGTTTAGGAGCACAACAAACGAATAGTGTAATTTCAGCATTTAACTACAAAGTCTAATACATACAAGCTTGTATTTGTTGTTAAGTAATGTCCACATGTTTCCCAGGCAGGTGCCAACTCGGCGTTCCACGAGGCTGTAGGAGAGACAATAATGCTAGGGGTCCAGAGTCCCCTTCACCTGGAAAGGCTAGGGGTCATGGCCAGCGATGAAACTGATATTCAAAAAGGTATCTGAAGGGACTGTGCTGTTCATAGTAAACTTGTGAAATACGAGAAGTACCAAGATCGCTTTAGGTCTCTTGCTATCTTGGGACCCAGTTGTCCTTTATCATTGGGCTATAAAGACTTATAATAAATGGTCATGGCTAATAAAGAACCAGTTGATATTAGTATAACTATAATCTATTGTGTAATGTCATCTGATACATTCAACACCGATCTTCAAACGCCAATCTTCGCCTTAAAATACGTAACCATGTTTGTACCGGTGTCCGGTAGGCTTTTCACGAATCTATTCTATAAATATCTAAGCTAACTTTAGCACTGGTAGGTCTACGACTAGGAATATGTATAATCAATGCTTGTAGTATGGACATTCAGAAAACCCTTGATAAGTTACAGTTTACAAAACGAAATTATGAGAATCCCTATTTATGGAACAGAAAGAGAGATATGTGGCTAAAAATCTATATCTTCAATTAGCTTGGCCATTGAGGTGTTTCCTGCTTGTCAATTTAGACCAATATTTTGACATGGAGATGGATTTTATTTTATCTGACGCATTATAATATAATGTCGTATTTACAGATCTGGAAATTCTCCTTTTACTCAAGACAGCCCTGAACAAAGTCCCTCAGATAGTGTTCGGCATGATGATGGACAAATGGCGATGGAAGGTGATGCGGGGAGAAGTGACTCCCCAGGAGTACAACACGGAGTGGTGGAGCATGCACAAGGAGTTCCTACGAGTCAGTCCTCCTGTGCAGCGGTCCAAGGCTGACTTTGACCCAGCGGCCAAGTTTCACATTATGGACAACACGCCGTATATAAGGCAAGTTCAGTGTAACACCGACATAAAAAAAGTAAGCTCAATAACAACGGCAGTCGTGAGAATATATATGACTTGGAAAACAAATCCCTGGGTAGGTATGTTCAACGTGCTCATTTTCGTGACCAAAAGTTTTGAAAACCACCACGCAGCATCGTTACAAACGAGACGTACCTAAAGTTGAAGAAAGCCTTGTTGGCTTAGCCATCCAATCGCATTTGCTACAGTCATTAGGCTCGTTTATATATTTAATACGTTAATTTGTGCAAAAACGAGTCTCTAGATATTTCTCACTCGCATGACTGTTATTCGACTGTATGAGTCATGGGACGTAACCCTTTTTTGTTTCACAGATACTTCTTAAGTGGTTTCCTTCAGATGCAGTTCTTCGAGTCTCTGTGCTTGGCCACAATTCCTCGCCAGGCAAAACTTCCTTTCCCTCTTCATCGCTGTGATATTTACGGAAACAAGGAGGCAGGTCGTCTTTTGAGGTAAGTGTACTAGACTGGTATAAAAGAACAGGGTGTATTTTTTAAAACGCAACACAAATTAATCAACTTCTGTGAAACAATCGCTTTTACGACGATATCAATTATCAATTATTTAATATCTATATCTATCTATCTATAATATTAAAACGAAACAGGGTTTTTTTATTTCCCGATTCTGAATCAACCACTTGACGGATTTTCATGATTTTTGTGTTGAAAGAAAGATAATTTTGAGAACTAGGGAATGTCGCAGCCACAATTTTAGTTTAGGGTCCCAGTTTTTTATAAATTAAGTTTTAATTTTTAAAAAGTCTACCAGCCGACGCTAAGATTCTAAACTAGCTTTTGGCATAAAATAATTTGCTTAACATAACAGCTGTAAACATTCAGCTTTTGTGTCACAAATTCAGCATTTGGATAAAAATGTAAAGACATACTTAGGGTTGACTTATTTATACTATGTGTAATGCTAATCATTGATACGTTCAATTCTTCTGTAAGAGGATGACAGATTAATTTAATATACATAGTAAAATACTAGGATGTTCAAATTATTTTTTAAAGCAATCTTTGTAATCTTCGATTTGTTTTAGAGCAATATAATTTGTTTTAACTAACAGCTGGTTAGTTATAAAAATGCCCTATAGAACTATGAGGTTATTTACTCTGATTTTGTCATTGATTATAGGAAATAAGTAAGATTAGTAGACCACCGAGATAAGTAACACCATCGATGTGTACAAGTCGAGGCTCTGTAGTCTACACGAGTTAAATAAAAAAGATATGCAAATTATTTTACTGCCGCTAATTATTAATTATTAATTAATTTTTTTCAACTTTTTAGAAAGGGTAGGAAAACCACAATTTTTACATATTTTAATTCATGTTGGCAGCTTTTTGTTTACAATCAATGTTTTTGAATGCTTGAACTTTGTTTGGATTAGGCCCGGAAATATTGATGTCATAAAGATGGAGATCAAGAATCCTCAGGAATACAATTTTAAATTACCACCACAACCTCAGACGGGTGTTATTCAAAGATAAACAGACGAATGACATAGATTTAACACAAAGTCATCATTGACCTAGGATACTGCAATTAGACTAACCATCCTTTTATGAAATCTAAAAAAGTTGTTTGGCGTGTGTTTAGTTGTGGTTAAGTTTGGAGGCGCTGAATATTTTATAGTTTAAATTAATGAATATGGGGAATTACGATGTGCATTGATTCAATGAGGGTGGTTTGGTGGTTCCAAGGATATTGGAACTGATAACGGAATGGATAATAAACATAGACAATTAATTACCTCACTAGCTTTACTAGCGTGTTTTACGTTTTTAATCCTATACTCTAATACGAGCAATGTTTGCTTGTATGTATGTATGTATGCTTGCTTGCTTGCAAAAAAGATCTCGAAAACGGCTCCGACGATTTTCTTCAAATGTTGTAAATAGTTTATTTCTGGCCTAAAAACGAGTTTACTGCAGTTAGAACTGCCAACAAAAATCTAATTACGTAGAAAAATGAAACTGAAAATCACATTTTTTTAACATTAGTTTTATGGGTTGCTAGGTGACCATGTTGGCTGAATTAAATAACAAGGAAAAAGTAAACAAAAGACTTGAAGTTGTAGCATGTGTTCATAATAAGCCAACTACCCACAGTATACTAGCAAATTACAAATACAGTACAAAAGGAAAAACATCACTTGTTAATATTTAGCAAAGATTATACTGAAGATTACTCTATACTTTGTAGTCAAGGGTAGCAGTGCGAAGTCTGGGATCTGTTTATGACGATTAGATTAAGGTATCTGCAATCCTAAAATGCTATGGGAAGGAAGGAAAACAGGTCCGCGACGTAGGAAGTGGTGAAGGAAGTAGTCAAGGCGAGCTGTCCGGAGTGTGGGAACTGTTTATGACGATTAGATAAGGGTATGGGCAATCCTAAAATGCTATGGGAAGGGAGGGAAACAGGTCCGTGACGTAGGAAGTGGTGAAGGAAATAGTCAAGGCGAGCTGTCCGGAGTGTGGGAACTGTTTATGACGATTAGATAAGGGTATGGGCAATCCTAAAATGCTATGGGAAGGGAGGGAAACAGGTCCGTGACGTAGGAAGTGGTGAAGGAAGTAGTCAAGGGAGTAGTCCGGAGTGTGGGAACTGTTTATGACGATTAGATTAAGGTATCTGCAATCCTAAAATGCTATGGGAAGGGAGGAAAACAGGTCCACGACGTAGGAAGTGGTGAAGGAAGTAGTCAAGGCGAGCTGTCCGGAGTGTGGGAACTGTTTATGACGATTAGATAAGGGTATGGGCAATCCTAAAATGCTATGGGAAGGGAGGGAAACAGGCCCGTGACGTAGGAAGTGGTGAAGGAAATAGTCAAGGCGAGCTGTCCGGAGTGTGGGAACTGTTTATGACGATTAGATAAGGGAATGGGCAATCCTAAAATGCTATGGGAAGGGAGGGAAACAGGTCCGTGACGTAGGTAGTGGTGAAGGAAATAGTCAATGCGAGCTGTCCGGAGTGTGGGAACTGTTTATGACGATTAGATAAGGGTATGGGCAATCATAAAATGCTATGGGAAGGGAGGGAAACAGGTCCGTGACGTAGTAAGTGGTGAAGGAAGTAGACAAGACGAGCTGTCTGGAGCGTGGGAACTGTTTATGATGATTAGATTAAGGTATTTGCAATCCTAAAATGCTATGGAAAGGGAGGAAACAGGTCCGCGAGGTAGGAAGTGGTGAAGGAAGTAGTCAAGGTGAGTAGTCCGGAGTATGGGAACTGTTTATGACGATTAGATTAAGGTATCTGCAATCCTAAAATGCTATGGGAAGGGTGGAAAACAGGTCCACGACGTAGGAAGTGGTGAAGGAAGTAGTCAAGGCGAGCTGTCCGGAGTGTGGGAACTGTTTATGACGATTAGATAAGGGTATGGGCAATCCTAAAATGCTATGGGAAGGGAGGGAAACAGGTCCGTGACGTAGGAAGTGGTGATGGAAATAGTCAAGGCGAGCTGTCCGGAGTGTGGGAACTGTTTATGACGATTAGATTAAGGTGTCTGCAATTCTGAAATGCTATGGGAAGGGAGGAAACAGGTTCGCGATGTTGGAAGTGGTGAAGGAAGTAGGCAAGGCGAGCTGTCCGGAGTGTGGGAACTGTTAATAACGATTAGATTAAGGTATCTACAATCCTAAAGTGCTATGGAAATGGAGGGAAACAGGTCCATGACGTAGGAAATGGTGTAGGACGTAGTAAAGGCGAGCCGTGTGGAGTTTGGGAATGGATTTATGTATCTCCAATACTAAGACTGCTTTCAGAAAGAGCTAATGATTTTCCCCGAGCAAAGCTCGGTCTCCAGGTACTTCCTTCAACATGTGACCAGTTCATTTGTTCAAATGAATATTATTTTATTTTTGACTCAGCTGTTTACCAAAACAAACTATATGTTGTTGTGTTTACTTTTCTTTGTTTATACACTTATTTATTTAGCAGAAATTGATGTCAATGGATGCAGTGAAATTGACATAAAGATGTGTGTGGACGATTCGTTTAATGATGTCAGGACACCAACGTTATAATTATGTGTACTGTGAATTTTATTGGATATTTTCGTTTTATTGTTTATTTATTATTATTGGTGATATTGATTATGGAAGAGGTAGGTAGGCTATGCGATGGAAGGTGATATCATTGACTAGGCCTCCATACACTTCTCAATTGATAATAATTACTCCTTCTACTGTAGGCTGCAATAAAATTTGTCTTTATACGTGTAAACTAGCTGTTCTGAATTATAGGCCAACTCCGTTTTAACTGACTACTCCCGTACGTAGGACGGGCTAACACCTCGTTTCACTTTAAAATGTAGGTAGTTTTCCCTTACCGTGAAGGATCTGCGTTATCAGGAAATGTGTTATTTTGAACTAAACATATCAAACACTTGCGTTTAATCAAGTTTTGTCGTAAATGCAATCTGTGTAAGTATTTAGTTTGTGCATTGCAAATTTCAACTCATATTTGGGAAATATTTTTTTTAGCAGTTTATCACTTAATTGTTTAAGATATAAATGGTTTACATGTTGATACTTCTTTTTCTATATGTTTGAATGTGATGAGTATGTCGGCACGGTAAAATTTTGGTTAGTAATGAAAGCGTCAATCTGTGTAGTAGGTATCTATAAAACTGTTACCGGTAAATAAACTTCATACTGCAGAGTGCAGCAGAAACCAAAGTCGACTCATACCATACCCACTATCCCCGTAGTACTGATGATTCAGAAACTTGGGCACTGACCAAAGAACCGAAAAACCTTAATGATGGGTTAGATAATAAAGTGCAGAGAAAATATACAGACCAGTTCAAGATAACGACCCGGAGGTCGAAATAAAAAAGAACAGAGAGCTAAGAGAAATGTGTTAACACCAAAATATAGGGATGCTTTCCAGAAGTAGGTAAAGCTTGGGTGGACAGGCTGTGCATAAACTTTAAAAAAGTATATTCCAAGGAGTACCGGGAGTACCACACGATAGGCGGGAAACATCAAGTTATGAAATGCATCCTCAGACTGGATCTAAATTTTGAAGAGGCAGGTGATAGAAGAGAATCCTCATAAAAGTTTCAGTGGTCACGGAGATACGATGAGGTAGGCCTACGTTAAGTACATAAGTAGTACAGTATGCAATTGGAGGTGGCATGCAACTACTCTACTCAAAACCAGTGTGAATCGGTCGCCAATCTCACTTATTGCACTTATCACACTGTTGCTGTTTTATGGTAAAATTATCGGCTTTAAAATACATATCGCCATATTTTAGGTCTATATTCGAATGGAATGAATAGGTGGTCACGTTACATTTGTTTATAAGGTGATCTTCCCCATTAAAACAGCCAGAATTTTTGTCTATGCGTGTAAACTAGATGTTCTGAATTATTCCGTTTTAGTTGACAACTCGATTCCCGTACGTAGGACGGGCCACCAGCTCGTATATAATATTAAAACGAAACAGGGTTTTTTTATTTCACTATTCTAAATCAACCACTTGACGGATTTTCATGATTTTTGTGTTGAAAGAAAGATAATTTTGAGAACTAGGGAATGTCGAAGCCATAATTTTAGTTTTGGGTTTCAGTTTTTTAGAAATTAAGTTTTAATTTTTAAAAAGTCTAGCAGCCGACGCTAGCATTTTAAAGTATTTTCAATGCTGGTTTAACTAACAGCTGGTTTATAACTGTCATTGAAATGTTTATGTTACGAGTTGTTTGTTTACAAAAATATTGTTTGTTAGTGTTTGTCTACATACTATTTCACAATGTAGGTAGTTTTCCCCTACCGTGAAGGATCTCCGTGATCAGGAAATGATTTATTTTTATCTAAACATCTCAAACACTTGCGTTTACTCAAGTTTTGTCGTAAATGCAATCTTTGTAAGTATTTAGTTTATGCATTGCAAATTTCAACTCATATTTGGGAAACATTTTTTCAGCAGTTTATCGCTTAATTGTTTAAGGTATAGTGGTTTACGTGTTGATACCTACTTCTTTTTCTGTATGTTTGAATGTGAGTATGTCGGCATACTAAAATTTTTGTTAGAATTGAAAGCGTCAATCGGTGTAGTAGGTATCTATAAAACTGTCAAATAAACTGCAGGGTGCAGTAGAAACCAAAGTCGACTCATACCATACCAACTATCCCCGTAGTACTGATGATTCAGAAACTTGGGCACTGACCAAAGAACCGGAAAACCTTAATGATGGGTTAGATAATAAAGTGCAGAGAAAATATACAGACCAGTTCAAGATAACGGGCCAGAGGTCGAAATAAAATAGAACAGAGAGCTAAGAGAAATGTGTTAACACGCAAATATAGGGATGCTTTCCAGAAGTAGGTAAAGCTTGGATGGACAGGTTGTGTATAAACTTTAAAAAAGTATATTCCAAGAAGTATCCCACGATAGACGGGAAATATTAAGTTATGAAATGCATTCTCAGACTGGGATCTATATTTTGAAGAGGCAGGTGATAGAAGAGAATCCTCATAAAAGTTTCAGTGGTCACGGAGGTAAGATAAGGTACGGTAAGTACATAAGTAGTACAGTCTGCAATTGGAGGTGGCATGTAGCTACTTTACTCAAAACCAGTGTGAATAGGTCACCAATCTCACTTCAAGATTTTTCAAATCGACACAAATGCTGTTTTATGGTAAAATTAACGGATTTAAAATGCATATCGCCATATTTTAGGTCTATATTCGAATGGAATAAATAGGTGGTCACGTAACATTTGTTTATAAGGTGATCTTCCCCATTAAAACTGCCAGAATTTGTGTCTATGCGTGTAAACTAGATGTTCTGAATTATTCTGTTTTAGTTGACAACTCGATTCCCGTACGTAGGACGGGCCATAAGCTCGTACTAGATAATTACATAATACATGATACTAGCTCATGTGTTAGTGAATTGGTATCCCTGTTTTCTTTACTTCATCAGCCAATACATATAATATATATATGTAATATCGGTCTATATATTATATATAGACTATATATATATAATATATTTCTGCATATGAGGTATTGATTGAAGTTTCCAAATTACATCTGGAAATTTATTCTCCACCCTTTATAAAAACCAATTATTTACTTTCAATGTACAAGAAATGAGATTGCGAAAGCACTATGTTGAGTCTTTATCAACAATTTAGTCCCAAGAACAGTAAAACTCATAGATAACTGTAACAATGCATATAGGGCCTAAGCCAGGCAGTATAACATAGGTAATATAAGTAAAAACAGGGATACCAACATATGAGTTTGGTGTTGTCTTTAAAATGCTTGTAATTTGGATTGCATAAAAAACACTTTTATTTATTTATTTATATGTGTACTTTTTGTTTCATTTATAATAATGGCTGGGTATCTTTTCCCAATTTATTCACTTGATGAGGGTGCAATCACGTCAATAGTATGTTACATTTGTCTGAATTATTATTATGTCCCAGATGTGTTAGAGACAATTTTGCTGCACACGAGAGCAATGTTGTAGGAATGATCTCGAGTGCAGCAAAGGCCTTTTGCACTCGTGTTACACATTATATTTTTCCTACAGTCACTTATAAAGCATATAAATAATTAGTCTTTCAAACACTATACAACACGTTTTTAGGTTCAGCTGGCAACACAAATAGGTGCCATAGAGAAAGTAGTACCCGGTCCATATCACTCCGCTATTTTTCCTCGGAAAGAAATGTGCTCCGCGACTTGAGAATATAGTTCCGTATGTTTTTGTAATTTGAAGTGGTTTCCACGCCTTAAAAAATGCTTTAAAGTTATTTTCTTGTTTATTAAGATCGTAGGAATGTTTTAAAAAACATTTAAAAGAAAAGTCCAGAAAGTTCAGAAATACCGAAACTATAAACACGAAATGACAGGTTAAATCGTAATTATAATAGTCAATCAGCTGCTCATAGTATTATTATCTTTAAGTGTTGCCAAACCTATTTCCAAGCGTACACGGATTACGTGCATAATAGAACCACGCTGTTTTGTGTTGTTTCGTTGGAATCCTGATGTGCGCCAAAGTATAAGCCGTACGACAAAGTATAAATATGCAGCAATTAGCAGCTTTCTGTACTATAAACTATAAACAGTACAAGGAAGCCAACTTTGTCGGGTGACTGTAGGAAAAAGCATATTGCATTAGAGACGGTATATTGAGCTTTTAAGTCAAATCGCGTTTTTATAGATTGGCAAAAAAACAAACAATTATTTACGTAACATCTTGCCAAATCAAAGTTTTACCTTTGACTATTAATACAACAACTTCTGTATCCAATAGTCAATGGTTTTACTTTAAGAATCTCATTGCTTATTAATTCTTACGGACTTGGTCAACAGCTGTTTGCAAAACATATCTTTCGGCTGGGTTAATCATGAATTATTGTTGCAGAAGTTGCAGGATAATGGGGTTTTCTCAGGATGTTCTTAAATGGCTGAAATCTTTTATGTAGATATGCAGCAATGTGCGGAGGTTGGTGACACTAGATCAGACTGGGTGACTGTTAAATGCGGTGTTTCTCAAGGATCTATCCTTGGACCTCTGATTTTTATACTGCACGTCAATGACATTAGCTAGACCTTGGTCAACTGTAAACACCACATGTACTCTGGTGACTTAAGTACTGTACATGACATTTTACTGTAAAAAAAATACTGTAACGAACAATGTAAAAAACTGACCGTAAAAGCCAGTAACGAATAGTTACATGCACTGAGAAGCCATGGACTGACACTTAATCACGAGAAAAAATAGCCTATTGTATCTTGCCATCTAAAACTTCGTACCTAAATTATCATTTCATTCATCCTTTTACTTTCCTTTATACTAACTCTTGTCGTGTAACCATTTCAGGAACATGATGCGCCTAGGCTCTCGGGCAGAACCTCAGGAGGCGTTGGCTACCATGACTGAGGGACGGTATATATCATACTCTGCAAAACCCTTTCTAGAGTACTTCCGTCCTCTGTCACTCTGGCTGGACAGCAAACTGACTAACGCTTCTCCTATCTGAGCCACGTTCACCGAGACACATACTGGTTACCGCGGGAAAACTAAATATATATGAGCTTGATCTATTTTCATTAAACCTGAATTTTCTCATGAGTGCCATTACAGGGAGTGGTTTACTTACATGAGTTAATTTAATTGCCATTATTAAATCGATATTTATTTGTAGTAAAATTGGTTGAAAAATACTACATTATATTTATATATTTTAGTTTATTTCAATCTATTGTTTCAAAGTTGTTTTTTAATACATAAAATACTATCAGTTATAAAGGAGTTTTATTTCCACAAGTCTTAAAAGAATAATTAATCTGACCGAATCTGAAGCGATTAATTGGCTGCATTTCTACATTCCCGAAACCCAGACATTTACTGAAAACCACATGCCTCATGGACATCGGTATCGCAATAATATAATTTTCATATTATATTCAACTAATAGCATAATACAGTAGTGATTTTACTATTTATATCTTCTCGTAATAATCGTCATGTCCACGCAAATAATGAGCAAAAAAGCAAGCCAATTAAATTTCACTAATTATTATCTTGATCAGCATTACCTATAGGGGAAAGTGGAGCAAGATGAGGTACTTAAGCATTTAATAATTTTTTGAAAGCTTCCTAATTTATTAACAAAAATAATTGATATTGCAACTTAAACTTCAGTCTTTATAGAGTATATATAAATATTTTTGCTCGTCTAGCTTAAAAACTTATACATAAAAACCCTTTTTTGTATAGTTTACCAAGTACCACATCTTGCCCTTCAGTGAGGGCAAGATGGGGTGAACTCATGGGGCAAGATGGGGTACCATTATAAAGTAAGGCAAATAAACAAATAAACACTAAACAAACTTAAAAACATTTATTAGCGAATTTCCCATATAGGGAATAAGCTATTACCGTAGTACTCATGGTAAGACCTGGGCGCGGGACCGATTTTTTTTTCGTTTTGAGGTCCCTAGAGACCAAAAACACCATCCGTTCAAATTCATATATATATATGAACATATATATATATATATGGATATATATATATATATATATATATATATATATATATGTGTGTGTGTGTGTGTGTGTGTGTGTGTGTGTGTGTGTTTGTATTCACCGAATAGTGGCATCCTTCACAGGCACACGGCCGTACTGTGGCACCTTCAAAAATTGTGGCACCTTTTTCAGGGTGCCACAGCTAATTCGATCATTTTTGAGGTTTTCCAGCATTATTACGTCGTTTAAACATCACATGCCACAATTGAGTATTTTTGAACTCGTTGATGTGAGTTTAAGTAGCGCAGGTACACACCGAATTGTGGAACACGAAACCATACAGGTAGCTAGCGCGCCTCGCGCCGTCCGCCGGAACTATAACTTTCCTAATGCTACGTTGCCAATTCTCGCGCCAGCCTACACTCGAAATAGTGGCACCATGCCACAATTCAGTATATATCAACAGTGTGTGGACAGGATGCCACTTAATGAGCTGTAGAGCTTGAGCAGTGTGTAGAACAGTGCAACAAGCAACTAATAAACTAATAATACTATACTGCCACGTACTATAAAACAATTTAAGTACCATAAATATAATATACTTTTGCTCCGAGTGGTGAACAATGTTTTGCATTACAAATAATTTGTGTAGTAAATAATAATTTAAATTGATTTACCTAACCCGCCATGTTAAACTTCCCTATCCCAAGCGTGATGTATACAACTTCCTTACTTCTCGAGTGATGTAAAGTATCAAAAACTCACTTGGTGATGTAAAGAAACCCATTTAAATAACATTGAGTGCTTAACTTAAAAAATATAACTCTATGGAGCCAACGATGTTCAACGCTAGAAATCAGCTGTGCGCTTGAATGTTATTATTATGCTTTAAAGTATTTTCCTACCTAACCTAGCTTTTGTTAGTAAAAGAACGTTACTGATAGAAGATGAGTGAAATGGATAATGAAAAATATTGTACGTAAACCCATGTTTATTGTCGGGTCAGGTAAAATCTTGTACGTTACACGTTACGCAAGAGCGTGCTGTTTACATCACTTAGGTGAATTATGCAACTCGCTTCCGCTCGTTGCACAACATTCACCTGCGTGAAGTAAAAACGCTCTTACTACACTTGTAATGTAAATAGCTATTACGCAACCATTAAAAAATTGATTTTTGTTTACAAACATAAATAATTGGTAACGTAGTTATTTTGTATCAATTGAATTTGTACACTGAAACGATAACAATGTTTCAGGTTAGAACGCTATATAAGTTGTCCTAGACTGCTTTTTTTATCTTACAAACTATTTCGTGCTGATACATCTATTTTTTTTAACATTTTAGTCATCTTGACAGAATATTTTGCAATTACATTTCTGAATCAGTCAGTAAAGGTAGATTTCGATGCATCATTGCTGAAAGTTATGTTTTGCTTCTCACTCTCAGAGTATTCCAAAGACATCTAATGTTTCAATCCATGTTCAAATGTTATATGAGGTAAACATATAACCGAATCAATTAAAGTACTTAAATTAAAATACATATTATTATCAACACGCATAATCTAGTTCAGATTATAATATCATCTCAAAATCATATTTGTAAAACCTACTGTGGTGTTTTAACCAGTCCCCACTAACAAAAGCATAAAATGAAAGGTCCTAAAGAGGTTAACATTGAGTCATAACAAAAGTAGTTTAAAAGTTGTAACCGTGATACTGTAAATAATTTGATATTGTTAGATATTATACGATCGTTTTACAATTTTGTCAATCTATCTGTTACTTTCATACAAATGTATTTTTATTATTCAATGTTTTGTTTTGTAGAACCTTTAGTATTCTCAACTTTATTAATAACTAGTAGAATACCCGACCTTCGTACGGGGTTGGCTTATAAGTAGAACATGATCATTGCAGTGATGGGAGAGGAAACGGTCTAAGAAAATATGGTCTTTTAATTTATACGGTATCCTATAGTGTGGCACACATATACCTATAATAAAAGAATGTGTTTAATGGTATGCACTGTAAACGAAAACCTATCACAATAGTTCCAAACATGTTAAGGGAACATGTTAATAGGGCAATTTTCTAACATATTTTAGTGAAATTATAATCAGGCAAACGGGAATTGGCTCAGTCTATAGGTTTGCTGGGGCAGGGGGATTATATTACTGTTTACAAACAAATAAATCAAAAGAATATACCCCATAACTCAGGATAAGGGCCTAGGTTGATAGGGCAATATAGAATGTTGATTATTTCCTATATCCATTGAATGATTTATTTTAAAATGAATTATTATAAAAATAAATAAATAATATTACAACATTTCACAAATATTATAACAGACTCAGTATAGTTAGATCATAAACAAATGAAGTACTGTAACTGAAACAATCCTATAATAATGAAATTACATTAACATATGGTTTGACAGCTCCATTAGGTAATGTTAAATAAATTCAGGCTAGTGACATCATTATTTTAAATTTATAATCCTTACCCTCTCTGTTCTAATATTCGTGCAGTATTTAATAAGGTTTGAACCAGCTGTGTTGAATTGAGAAATCAAAATCAATTTGACAGTTAGTTCTGCTTGTTTACATTTTTAAACTTACTAGGTTTGTTCTTTGTTACCATGGATACCATCAATCAATATTTACTTTTAAATCTCTCATCTCAGATTTTTGAAAGCCCACGGGGCAAAGCCCTTGGTGAATATCGAAGCGGTAATAGTTCTATATGTATCCTAGGAGCTGTAGCTTCATTTGTGTGCAATTTGAGCATAGTCGGATCAGTATTTTTTGAGATTAGCTCATACAAACACACACACAGACACCCCCTCTTCTTTATAATAGTATAGAATAGAATAGATAGATAGATAAACCTATTTCAACGTGCAATATCAGTTTTAGGAAATTCCTAGTAAGGTTGTTAGAAGTATATTGGCATCCGTGAAGTTTGTGTAATGTTTTTTAAAATCACTGTGGGATATATTTAACTTCACTTATTATTTATTTAATATGTTTCTACTTCTTGAAATTCTCAGTTAACTGGGAGGCGGAGCAAACAGTTTGTTCTAAAATGAACTTGAAAATTTTAAACAATCTTTTTCTGTTGGTTTACTTAAAGTATATAATGTTCTACTATGAATGCAAATCTTTAATATAGTCTAAATTTCCAGTCCCACCCTCAAAAACTATGATATTTAACAGTTGAATCTTTTTAACGTATAAACACATTATTTTTAATCGGTCATCAAACTGATTCTTGAATTAGTAGTTGCAAGAGTACGCAAAACTGCAGAGAGTCCTTGAAAATGCTTGTGCAATGATATAGTTTTAAATTATAAAAGAAACCCTTCAAAAAATTGTATTAACAGGACCAGAGGACCAATATGCACATGGTATTTCATTTGTATAAGGCAAAAAGTTCAAATCATATTAACTTATGATTGCCAATATATTTTGGGTTTCCTTAAAACAATTATATAAAACCGTCTGCAAATGTCAATAAAACTGATTTTATAAGAAATTGTAGATTCTTCTGTTGCTCTGTAGGCGACCATTTTGGTCACACAAGGAAGTCCAAATTTATATCTTAGTTTGAACAACGTCATCTTGATTTTACATTGCTCAAGATACATAATCGACACATAGGCTTTCAAAAAAAAAATAAGTAAAGAAAGTAACTAGTGATGGACCGCGCAGACATAGGAACAGTCTAGACTTGCCTCTTACTGACGTTTTCCAAACGAATATAGAAGTTAGATCTACATTCTTCATTTTAGGCTTGAAATAAATTTGTTTGTGGGTAAGAGCGAATGAGTAAGCATGAACAATAACCCTTCTCCCCGACACGCTACCATACCACAGCATCTTACTAGCAGAGCTCAAGGTGATTGACGTAATTGTAATGAACTAAATTTAGACTTCCACCCCCCAATGTCACCAATGGGCCCTAAAGGTTGGTATGTAACAATTCATGACGGTTGAACAATGGCCTTTAAAATACGCTTTTAATTTGTTTCCTAGCGTTTACCGTATCTTAGA